GGATCACGAGGTCAGGAGATCGAGACCATCCTGGCTAACACGGTGAAACCCCGTCTCTACTAAAAAATACAAAAAAACTAGCCGGGTGCGGTGGTGGGCGCCTTGCAGTAAGCTGAGATCCAGCCACTGCACTCCAGCCTGGGTGACAGAGCGAGACTCCGTCTCAAAAAAAAAAAAAAGTTAGGTAGTGAGTCTACCTCAACATCCCTACCCCACATACAATTCTCCCTTCCCCAAACACTTCCTATAGAGGGACATTCTCATGAGAGGAGATCTCATTTCATCCTCCCAGCAGCCTTGGGAAATAGCTGTTGTTATTATTATTATTGTCCTCTTTTTACAGATGGGTGTCTGAAGCCCAAAAGGCTGAGTAAGTGTCTTGCCCAAGGTCACACAGTTAACCTTAGGTTTCTCAAATGTGAAGTGGGGCTAATAGGACTTACCCCCATAAGGCTGTTGCCAGGATTAAATGAGATGATGTTTGCTAAGCTCAATGCCTGGCATATAGAATGCTCTCAATAAAGGACAGTTTTTGGCACTGCCAAGTGGCTAGAATTTTAAGGTCAGTGTTGTTACTGAATAACGAATGGATGATTGCAGGTTAGAGTGGAGACAGGGAGCCCCTCCGGAAGGTTCTAACTCATCAGAGGCCCAGCTGTAGGGCTCGAGGGGAGAGTTGGTGATGGCTTGGACCTGAATTATGGCTATAGGGGTAGAGGTGAGGTGGCAGATTGCAGAGAGATTTAAGAGCCAGACCTGGCAGGAGGGGATGACTGAGTGGCCAAGGAGGCTAACTGAGACATCCAGGATGACTCCTAGTTTCTGTCTTGAACAACGGGGTACATAGATGGTGAGGTGTCATGGAGAAGTTGAGACTGAGAAGAGTCAGGTGGAAAGTGGTGAATTTGGTTTGGGAACCTGAAACCCAGCATGCACTGTGACAGTGCACTCAGCATCTGGGGAGGCAGCAAGCGGGCAGTTGGATACAGAGGTCTGGTGCTCAGAAGAGTGGCTTGGGTGAAGGAGAGATAAGGAAGCTGGCAACATTTAGATGGCATTGAGCTGCAGGAGCTGTGCACAGCCCAAGGGCAGGGAGGATAAGGCCCTTTCAGGGATGCGGGGAGAGAAGGGGCCTCTGTGGGAAAGTAAGATATGCAGTCAGAGAGGTAGATAGAAAACCAGTGTATTGCCTGTTGAAATTCAGGGGAAGGAAGGGCTTAAAGAAGAGGAGAGGAGCCACGAAGTCCAAAGTTTTGCTGAGATCAAGCAGGATAAGGATGAAACATGGGCACTGGGTTCAGCAAAAGGGAGGTCACTGGTGACCTTCTCCAGACTAGTCAGGGGAATGGTGGGTACAAAAACTGGACCAGGGTGGGAAGAGGAGCAGGCGGGTGTAGTGAGAAAATGCAGGTAGACATCTCTTCAAGACACTTGGCTTTGAAAGGAGAGGAGAGAGATGGAATAAGGAATTCGGTAGCTGGAGAAAGACAGAAGGTCCACAGGGCAGCCTTTTTTTTTTTTTTTTTTTGAGACAGAGTTTTGCTCTTGTCTCCCAGGCTGGAGTGCAATGGTGCCATCTTGGCTCACTGCAACCTCCACCTCCCGGGTTCAAGCAATTCTCCTGCTTCAGCCTTCTGAGTAATTGGGATTATAGTCATGCACTACCATGCTGGTTAATTTTTTTTTTTTTTTTTAGTAGAGATGGGGTTTCACCAAGTTGGTCAGGCTGGTCTCGAATTCCTTACTTCAGGTGATCCACCTGCCTCGGCCTCCCAAAGTACTAGGATTATAGGCATGAGTCGCTGCACTGGGCTGAGTCATTTCTTTTTTGTAATTTTTTTTTTTTTTTTAAGAAAGAATCTTGCTCTGTCACCCAGGTTGTAGTACAGTGCGATCTTGGCTCACTAAAACCTCTGCCTCCTGGGTTCAGCAATTCTCATGCCTCAGCCTCCCGAGTAGCTGGGACTACAGGCCGTGCCACCACGCCTGGCTAATTTTTGTATTTTTAATAGAGTCAGGGTTTCACCATGTTGGCCAGGCTGGTCTCAAACTCCTAGCCTCGAGTGATCCACCTGCCTTAGCCTCCCAAAGTGCTGGGATTACAGGCGTGAGCCACCGCACTGGCCCAACATTTTGTAATTATTTATAACCAATTTTACATTGAAATATAATAGGCACACAAAAAGTGTGTATGTCCTAAGTGTACAACTCTGTACATTTTCATAAGAGAACACACTCACATAGGATCAGGAAATTTAACCCAGAGCAGGAAATAGGACATTACCAGCATCCTGGAAGACTCATTGTGGCCCCTTCAGTCACAACACCTGGAGGGAGACTCCCAGGCTAACTTCTATCACGATAGATTAGTTTGCTTGCTTTTGAACTTCATTATCAAGGGGATCATACATTCGTCCTCTCTTGGGTTTGCTCTCAGATTCACCCATATTGTTGCATGTCACCGTGTATTTTTCATTCTTTTTGCTGTGTGGTAATTCCATTATTCATTGACAGGTATCTGGACAGTTTCCAGGGTTTTCCTTTTTTCTTTTTTGAGACAGACTCCCGCTCTGTCACCCAGCCTGGAGTGCAGTGGCACAATATCAGCTCTATGCAGCCTCTGCATCCCAGGTTCAAGCGATTCTCCTGCCTCAGCCTCCCAGGTAGCTGGCACTATAGGTGCGCACAATCACGCCCAGCTAATTTTTATATTTTTAGCAGAGATGGGGTTTCACCATGTTGGCCAAGCTGGTCTCGAACTCCTGACCTCAAGTGATTCCCCTGCCTCTGCCTCCCAAAGTGTTGAGATTACAGGCATGAGCCACTGCACCCAGCCCATTTTTATTTTTCATGTGGGAGTGACTTGAGCTTGTCTGAGACTTGTGGAGAAAGTCTGAAACACCCCAAAAGGAGAAAGAAGACTAGAGTCACACTTGAGGATTTGCCAGGTAGGTGGTGAGGGCCTGGCCAAGGTTGAGGATTGCTCTGTGATTCCAGCCAGGCTGCTGTGCCAAGACCTCTGGCAACTCCTGCCAACCTGTGTGCAGGTGTAGAGAAGACCAGGAGTTGGGTTCCCCAGGGCTGGTTTCTACCAGCTGGGAGAAAGGCAGGCAGTGCTGAGGATACTTGCAGCAGGCGAGTGATGGGATGATGGCTGTGAATCCAGGCTGGGGAGGAGGCTATGCGGGGAAGGTAGGGAAGAGAAGGTAGGAGGGAGCTGGCAGAAAAAAAGAAAGCAGAGGCGGACTGTGTGAGCTCTGCACAGGGTGGTGTCTGTGAAATTCTGGGCTGTATCTCCAGTGACTGGCACATGCTTGGCACAGGGTTGCCATTCAGTGAACAGGTGAATAAATGAGCGAGAGCTCGAGGGGCCAGAGGTCTCAGGTAAAAGGCAGCTGAGGTGGGGGTGATGGAAAGCCTGAGGGTTGTATCAGTGTGGGTGTGGTTTAGGAAAGGGGCATTCCAAAGGCAGGTGATAAGGCTGGGGATGGCTGAAGGGAGCAGAGAGGCCAGTTTTAAGCAGGCAATCCATGGAAATGCACAGGTCACCAGTGTAGGGTGCAGGGTACCCAGGCTTCGGCTTCAAGGAGGAGGGGAGAATAACATGTCTCAAACTGAGGTCCCTGGACCTCTTGCACCTGAATCTGTCGGGGGGAGGGGGAACTTGTGGAAATGCAGACCCCTGGGCCCAACCCAGACTCTTGGGGAGAAAGTAAGCACAGTATGGGAGAATTGAGCCTCAAGGAGGAAGAGTGTTTATGGGATGGGGGAGCATCCAGCCCCTCCAAGGTCAGGGGAGGGATGGGCATGGTGGCATCTATCCAGGCTAGAGGTGGACATGGGATATTCAAAGAAGAGATAGGCTGGGCGTGGTGGCTCATGCCTGTAATCCCAGCACTTTGGGAGAATGAGGCAGGCTGATCACTTGAGGTCAGGAGTTCGAGACCAGACTGGCCAACATGGTGAAACCCAGTCTCTACTAAAAATACAAACATTAGCCGGGCATAGTGGTGGGTGCTTGTAATACCAGCTACTTGGGAGCCTGAGGCAGGAGAATCGTTTAAATCTGAGAGGCGGAGGTTGCAGTGAGCTATCGTGCCACTGCACTACAGTCTGGGTGATAGCACGAGACTCTGTCTCCAAAAAAAAAACAAAGAGACACTGGGCATGGGGATCAGGATGGGAACGCAGAAGCTGAGAGGCCCATGTGAGCTGGGGGCAGTAAGGATGGGACATTAGCCTAGGATGCAGCTTGACTAGGGAGGAGGCCCTGGCTGGCAGCCGGACCTGATCCTTTCCCCTGGGTCCTGGGAGGAGGGGAGTGCTCAGACTGAGCACTCACTCTGTGGGAGTAGGGGTGGGGTGGTGCATGGGGCTGTGGGACTCTGCATCCATTTCCTTCTCTGCATCCCTCTTGGCGCAGCAGCACACACTATGGGGTGGATCTAGTCCCACACTTTCAGCCTCTCTTCTCAGCCTCCCAGTCCCCTGGTGATCAGTGTCCTAACTCTCCTCCCTCCATTGGCACAGCCCCTCCAATCAGCACCCTTGGCCCATCCTTCCACTCTTCAGCCCCCTACTATCCATCTTCGCACACTTAGAACCCCAGCTCTCAGCCCTCTGTGTGTTCAGCCTTAGCACTGCTCAACAGCAACTCTTTTTTGGGGGGGGGGATGGAGTATTGCTCTGTCGCCCAGGCTGGAGTGCAGTGGCGCCACCTCCCGGGTTCAAGCGATTCTCCTGCCTCAGCCTCCTGAGTAGCTGAGATTACAGGTGTGCGCCTTCGTGCCTGGCTAATTTTTGTATTTTTAGTACAGATGGGGGTTTTGTCATGTTGGCCAGGCTGGTCTCGAACTCCTG